TAAGTATTATATTATAATTTAACTTTTACAACACAAAATAAACATCATCTAATTAAATAATTTGTTTTTTTATTCTTAGAGAGTAAGTATTATATTATAATTAACTTTTACAACACAAAATAAACATCATCTAATTAAATAATTTGTTTTTTTATTTCATAGAGCGTAAGTATAATAATTTAACTTTTACAACACAAAATAAACATCATCTAATTAAATAATGTGTTTTTTTATTCTTAGAGAGTAAGTATTATATTATAATTTAACTTTACAACAAAAAATAAACATCTTCTAATTAAATATTTTGTTTTTTTATTTCTTTATAATAACCAGATGGTAAGTATTATATTATAATTTAACTTTTACAACACAAAATAAACATAATCTAATTAAATAATTTGTTTTTTTATTTCTTTATAATAACCAGTTAGTAAGTATTATATTATAATTTAACTTTTACAACACAAAATAAACATCATCTAATTAATAATTTGTTTTTTTATTTCTTTATAATAACCAGTTGGTAAGTATTATATTATAATTTAACTTTTACAACATAAAATAAACATCATCTAATTAAATAATTGATTTTTTTATTTTTTTATAATAACCAGAGTGTAAGCATTATATTATAAATCAACTTTTTACAAAAAAAACTTTATTAACATCATCTAATAAGTAAACTTATTTTTTATTTCTTTGTAACCAGATTGTAAGTATTATATTATAAATTAATTTTTATAACAACTAAATAAAATTATTTTTTATTGCTTTATAATAACCAGCTGGTAAGTATTATATTGTATTATAAATCAACTTTTATAATTTTTATATCTAATTAATAAGTTTATTTTTATTTATTTATAATAATCAGCTGGTAAGTAGTATATTATAAATTAACACAAAAATAAATTTTATTAAAACATCATCTAATAAATCTTTTTTATAATAACCAGGGAGTAAGTATCATATTATAAAATTAACTTTTACAACATAAAATAATTTTCAGTAAAACATCAATTAATTAATAAATTTATTTTTCTTTATAATAACATAACCAGCATGTAAGTAAACTTTTACAACACAAAATAAACTTTATAACATCATCTAATTAAATATTCTTTATTTCTTCATAATAACCAGCTGGTAAACATTATATTATATTATAAAATAACTTTTACAACAAATTGTTCAATTAAATAAATTTATTTTTTGCATTTATAATAACAATTGAAGGTAAAATAATTTATAAATTTATCTTTTTCATAACTTTAAATGAATGTCTATTTTTATTATGTTGAAAAATAATCCTATTTTATTTTTAATTTTTTATAATGAATAATAAGATGACACCAAGGAGTTTAAAGAAAGAAAAAGAGAATATGAAACCTGTTCTGTTTGTAGAAGATATAATACTAATTATCAGTGGTGTCAATCATGTGATTCCAAATTGTTAGCTCAAAGTTGGACTAGCAGTGGTAATGACAAATTAGATGAAATAATCAGAAATACACAGCTTGAGGCAAAAGGATTTGATAGCTATTATTACCTTGATTGGATTCCTTATGACCAACTTACAGTTGAAGAAGGAATAGGTGAAGGTGGTTTTTCAACTGTGTACAAGTGTCATTGGTCAAATGGTCCTAGATATATTAGTAATAATATAAGATATTATTGTAGTGATGGTGATGTTGCATTAAAAAAGGTTAAAAACTCTCAAAATATTTCTGATGAGTTTTTAAAGGAGGTAAATAATTTGATATAATTAATTGACAATTAATTAATGGTTTTTAAATAATATATTAATTTTTTATTGATTTTCATAAAGCTTCAAAACCACATTAAATTTATAGGACCTTATCACAAGGGTATTGTTAATATTTATGGCATTTCACAAGACCTAAATACAAAAGAATATGTTCTTGTAATGAGATATGCAGCTGAAGGAGATTTTAAAAAATATTTAAAGTCAAATTATACAGGATGGAATGATAAAATTAAAAAACTTTATGATATTATCTCAGGTTTAAACACACTTCATCAAGAAAAACTTATACATAGTGATCTTCATAGTGGTAATATTTTATATTTTGATTATTTATCCCAGGCAATGATTGCAGATTTAGGGTTATCAAGCCCAGCTGATCATGAAACATCATCAAGTAAATCTGATATATTTGGAGTACTTCCATATGTTGCACCAGAAGTATTAAAAAACCCCCTTTACTCACAAAAATCTGACATCTATAGCTTTGGGATTTTAATGTCAGAAACATCAACACATCAACAGCCATTTGGAGATCAACCACATGATATAGATCTTGCTTTCAAGATCTGTGGTGGCTTAAGGCCTAGTTTTTCAGATAATACTCCAGAATGTTATATTAAGTTAGCATACAAATGCACAGATGCTGATCCTGAAAAAAGACCAACAGCAGATGAAATTTTAAAAATTATTACTTTTTGGAAAGATGCAATTGAATCTAATATTTCTAGTTATTCTGAAGAACAGCTTAATGAATTAAAAGAAATAAAAAAAAAATTTGAGGAAGCAGATAAAAAACCCTTTAATCCTTCAACAATTACAGCAACTGTTCATCCAAATGCTGTTTATACAAGTAGATTATTGAATTTTAGAAATCTTCCTCAACCTGTAAACTCCAATAAAGTTACAATTATTAGCAATAATAATGGTAATTATCTAATTATTGTTAAATATTTAATCTTAATTATTTATTATTAATGATATTTTAAATTATATAGAATCTCAACAAATTGAATTTATGAATTCATCTGATTATTGAATTTTCACATTAGTTTTTTTATTATTATAAGGAAGTGTTATATGGTGAACAAACACCTCTTATTCACTACAAATAATAATAATTGTGAGATAAAATTTGCATCTCACAGTAAATCTCAATATTTTATTTATAATAATATGTCAACAATGTTAATAAAATTTCTTCCAATTTATTTATACTAAATCATAACAACAATTTCTGCAAATATATATTCATGTTTTACTCTCAAAAATATACAGGCAACCCAAAGTATTTTGACACTGTCATAAAGGGGTGTTTTTAATAGTGAGTGCCATAATTAATTTCTACTTTCTACTATCAAAATTGGAATAATTTTGATCATCAAAAAAAATAATTTATCCTAATTAAATGTATACTTGAACCTTCTATTATTTTCAAGTTATTTCTAAAGTGATTCAATCATTTAAATTCCTTTGTTTAAGTTTAATCTGAGAATTAAAGGTCTGTTATATACATGTTGTCAAAAATTAATTTGGCTTAGACTCAATTCCTAAAATCTCAATTTTTAATTGTGACTCAATTATTTTATATGTTTTTTCATACAACTCAATTAATTGCATCAAAAAGTCACCTAATTGAGTAAAGTGATCAATTTCTACCACATTAGTGTTCCATGTCGCAACCCAAAAAAGGAAACAAAATGGTCGTAAAGGTGGTTGCAATCATTCACTAGTTATATTTATTGTATATAAATTTCTCTTTTATTTTAACTTATATTTAATATCATTACTATGTATGATAAATAAATCATTATTTATGTATATAGGAATAAATGTAAAAGAAAAATTTTAATATCTATTTATTATATTTACTTTTAAAACAAATGATTTTATATAAAAGGTATACCTAAATGATCAAAAATTCTGTAAATATTCATAATAATGTATGTAATATTTGGACATTAATTTCTACTTATACTTGCGTCAAACAAAATTTTACATATATGAATATAAAGGCAAATTTTGACTTTTGAGGGTCAGATTATTTTCGATTTTATTAACAACCTGCTTTAAAAATTTTCTTGAAGCAGATACATATGATAAAGAAGTTATATCTCAAATTTGGCAGTGGTTGCTACACAGTTAGGGTATCAAATTAGGGTGTGAAGACATTCGATTATAAAATTTTACTATGTAAATTCGAATTTTACTATGATGCAGATCATCCAAAATTTACTATGTTTTACAACCCCAATAGATTGGTGGGAAATGTCTTGCGACTGGTATTGGGGTAACTTTATAATTAACATAAAAATCATGAAAATTGAAATTAGAAGTTTCCAGGGCCTGTAATGTTGATAAAATAAAACTTTTAACTAAACCCAATTTGGCTAAATGATAGAAGTCAAATAACTTTCTGTACCACGACTCCATTTTTTACAAAAATAATAAGTGGATCGACCAATAATGATAGTGATGATGATATTGATAATGAAACGATCGAAGATGATAGATATTAATGAAAAAAGTAATTTTTTAATCAAATATTAAATAAAAAAATAATTTTGTCATCTTTGCTTTTTTACATATTAAATGATGTCATATTTACTTCATTTTGGTTTTTTTTTTCACATTTTAAATGGTGTCGTTTTGGTTTTTTTCTAATATATATAATAAATTTTACTTTCAACAACAATTCGTCAAATTGACAAAATGTCTCTTGGTGAGAAGCTACCTTTGGTCAACGAAAAAACAAAAATTTGTCAGATATTATTTAATAACACGTTCGTAAGCATTTTTGTCGCGTCAAAAAGATGAAAAAACCGACAAGACAAAAAAGAGAGAATTCAAGAGATAAAATAATACGTTTATGGTTTACAATATTAATATTATTTATGTTAATGGATCAGTTGATTTACACAATAATATTTTTACAGAAGAAGAGTCATCATCGTCAACAACATTATCTTCATCAGAAGATGATTATGTTTACTAATAGCGGTAAACTTTAAGTCGCAAATAGACTCAATATAAAACAAGGACTGAAACAAATACGAAGAAGAATTAAAAAACATAAAAGAAAAATTAAAAGATAACGACATTAACGACAATAATGACAACAACAACAACAACAACGATGATGACGATGATGTGTCGACTCGGAAAAGCTTAAACAATTATTTCACAGTA